GCTCTCCGATGGGACCAGCCTCTACCATCGATCCCAACGCTGGCAGCGGCTCATTTGCGTCTAGCCAGAGCTACGCTGACCAGGTCAAGAATCTCTTCCTCAACAACCCGGCGCTCAAGGACAAGACGGCCGAGGAGAGGCAGAACCTCTACACCGCTTTCGAGAAAGCCCTTGAGCAGGCTTTCTAGCGAGACAAACAGTCATGTGGTTGTCCCGAAGTGATGGAATGTTACCTAGAATACACTCGTCCGTCCAAGTGAGCCCTTGTAGCCCGGCACTTTGTGGCGGTCTAAAGCTCTCGGTGTTGGCAGCATCGAGGTTGCTTCCGTCGGGGCGGCTCTCCAGCCGAGCACACCCAGAGCGTCGCGAAGAATGTAGATTTGGGTAGGTGCTCCAACACCCACGGGAGCCCAGAGCCCAAGCCCAAAACTTGTGACTCCGCCTGGAGCGTGAGAAGATCTTGCAACCGCACGTTCCCTCTCTTCTGCATGCAACGGCTGTCAACGAGCTGCACAGGTACGCACTTTAGCCGGTCGATGCTGCGGCTGCTGGGCCTGAAAGTGACCGGGCCGAGGCGTCTGCGGGGGAATCATTTGCAGGGACAGCGATAGAGGCTCCAAAGCAGTCGCTACGCCGAGGCGGAGGCCAGATAAAGCACCCTGAAAGACTACGGACGCCGAGAGGAAGAGAGCACAGCTTTGAAAGGCTTGTCCCCTACTCGGGGCACAGCAGTGTCCATTAGCCAGTATGAGGTCTTGGGAAGAGCCGCACCTCAGCACCGCGAGGTGATTAGATCCTTCCTCGCCCCTTGGATACGTTCAATTCATCGTGTACTACTGTCTGCCGTTTGCCGCCTGCCTTCGCCACCATGCTACCATCCCTACGCACACTGCAGACTGCAACACTCCCAGCACTGCGCAAGAGGTTTAAGTTTCGATGACGAGATACAGACCATAGAGCGCCGCTCGAGGGGAAGATGGTGTAGCAGTTCTAGCAGGTGATGGTGTGAGAATACGTAGACTCCTGCGTTGGCAACCGGAGTCAATGCTGACGCCGATGGCAGAGCTGAGGCCGCCAATACAGAAATCAGATCCGCACGCCTCGCAGGCTCAGGCTGCGGTGATGGTGACCAGGTAGGCGTCGTCGGCGTTGGTCCAGTTGATCTGGACGCTTGCCGTGTCCTGCTCTACACTGACGGGCTGATTAGCGACACGAACGGGAGCAGCCACAGGAGCGCCGTGGTTGTACGGGATCACCTGTACCTCGGCCTGGAGGTGCGTGGCGCCTTTCGCAAGCGCAGAGATGCCCTTGAGGACGACGTTTGCGGTACCAGTGAAGCCCGTGTTGCCGACGAGAGCGGAAGCAGTTCGCTTGGCGGGGGAGGCGATACCGTACGAGTCGAGAGCATGACCCTCCTCCGTAACACACGGCGAGCCCTGAAGACCTCCATAGATGGCCCACACGTGTGCTTCGCCCGTCTCGGCGTAGGATCCGTCGGGGTTCTTGATGAGCAAACCAGCCAGGTTGTCTCGCAGAGCAGGACCACCTGCCCAGTTGCCGCGCATACCGTGGAACTTGACCTTCTCATATCGCGCATGGTGCCAAGCTGCATAGCCGGGACGTTGCTGCTCGCGTGTACCGTACTCGTTGGTCTGGAACCCAAGCCCAAGGTCGAGGCCGTACTGTCGAATCAGATCGCGCATGGTCTGCGAAGACGACACCGGATCATTGGTTCCACCGCCCTCGAGATGCCAGTTGTAGATGTCGGGCTGCACGTCTTTGTTGGCACGGACGAACGACAGCCACTTTTTGAACCAGTCGTTGTTCGGGTTGGGACTGGCACTCGACGGGCCTACCAGAGGCAGATGGTGGTCAGACTTGGGACCGAATGCCTTGCGGAAGGCGCGAGAACCGCGGGCGTACATCTCGAGGTACTGATCCTGGCTCCTGCCCCAAAAGACCTTGCCGAGGTCCGGTTCGTTCCAGAGCTCGATCTGCGTCATCAGGCTGACGTCCATGCGATGCTGCTTGATGTCCGAGATGATCTGCTGGACAAAAGCATCGTACGAAGCCCAGTTGCCGCCGTCGCCGGGGAAGGGGAAGTTGGGTCCCTGGGTAGCGTCGGCTCCCCACAGGTCCGAGGTCTTGATGACAAAGGAGCCGTTGAGGGCCTGCATGCGCTTCCAGTCGTCCACGACGGTCAAGAAGCGCGCGTCGTAGTGGGCCTTGGAGGAGCCCCAGCCCGAGGTAGGAGACTGCGCACCGCCCGCCGAAATGTCTGTGATAAGAGGCGCAGCTATTAGGGTTTGAATAGCCAAACAGACGCCAAAGCAGATCTGGACGTTGACTTACAGTTGATTCCTAGCTTCTCGAGGTCTGATTGGCACGAGCAAGAATCGGACGATCAAGGATTGTTGATGTGGGTCAGTTCTCGATGCTCGTGAGGGAATGATGAGGAACGGAGATGCTTACACGATTGAGGTGGACTGTTGGTGCCCTGAGCTCCGTAGAGCATTCCGGATCCGTAATGCTGAGGTCGTCCTCGGCATTGATCGAGATGGACAGTGACCGTGTCGGTGGCGCGCTTTTCCAGGAAAGCGTGGGCAGCAGCAGCGTGGCTTGCTTGGACGCTGCTAAGCGCGGTGGCGAGAGCGACTAGGGAGAGAAGGCACTTCATCGTGGTGAAGACACAATGGTATCGAATGGGGGTCGTGAGAAGAGGCGAGAAGGCCAAGGTCTACTCGAGCGGCGTCCTTATATGTTCTGAGTCGTTCGTCCTGATGTCTCTTGGCGACACAGCGGTTGGCGTCGCATGTCTGTAGGGAGGCGCGCGGTACCGCTCTTTGGGGTGCACCCACTTCTACTGCGAGCCAAGCTGTGTGTAAGGCGCTCTTGTGGACTCTTCCGAAGGCGGCTTGATTGGCAGTAGGTGTTGCGAGCAGGTTGTCATGGCGCTCGCCTGCATGGAAGCGCCACTGGATGAGAGAATGCGCCGCCACTTGATGAAAGCTTACGCCACAGCGCCGGACTTGCGGATCAAGTGGGTCGTATGTAGGGCAGCACGGAAGCAGTCTTTAGTCGGCGCACATGAATGAACGACGAGGTGGGAGTATCGATTTGAGGTCGGCTTCGATTAGACCCCACTTCATCGTGGCACCAGGTGGGCGAGCATGGCTGTTGCCAAAGATGCCTATCAAGCTGAGATCGACGCCACAGCTTACAAATTGGAATGCAGTGCACAACCCCGGAGGAGTGCAAATCGCCTCTTATCTTAGACGACATCCTCTGATGCTCGATTGACCTTGTTCGGGGCTTTCTTGCGGGTGGAAGAAGCTTCCACTTCACGACTCTCGCATACGGCGGTGCCTCAGGCTGCTTCTCGCGAAGTTGCGTAAGCCAGCGTGTGGATGCGCCTGTACAGCATGTCGAGCGGCGTTCAGCTGCCTGTGTATGAGAGCATCTTGCGTTGGAGAGATGCTGGCGTGGGCTGGTGAGCTCGGGTCGTACATCGGTCCTTCGTCCAAAAGCCGTTTTATTTGCCGGACCCTCGCCAGCCAAAATCTCATTTCTGTATGCCAAAAGCTCGCTCTGCAGCGGAAGACCACTCGGTGGGGATCACACAGACTCGCACCTTCCTCAAGCTGATTTGAGTTGCTTCAGCCGTGCTCAAGTCTCACCATGACAGCGACGAGGAGCGCTGTGCGTCTGTGCGCAGGGACAAGGACCTTGCGGGCACATGCTGGCGCGGTCGAATGCGTAGTCGAAGTGCGTCTGGGCACGTACCAGTCGACCGTAGCTTACTCCATCATCGAGCCAGATGCGAGGCTTTGTGGCTGTTGCCGACCAGCCAGAGCCTCGGCCGTCTCTGTCTGGGCATGCGGACTCGCAGATTGACAGTCGATGATCGCTGAATTGGTTTCAGGTGCCTGCGTCATCCTGTGCACCAGTGCGACGGCACAGGGTCCACCCGGATAAAGCATTGGCTCAGCGCCGCACGGTCTCACTTGGCCACGTGGCGGCAAGATGCGCGATCTAGACTGTGGAGTGTGAGCGCTTCGGATAATGGAGGTGCGGACCCTGAACTGGGGCTGCACCTCCTGCAGACTGCCTTTCCCGTGCTTCAGAAGCATTCCGCTTGGCTCTTTCCTGTCGTCGAAGCAGTAACCTATCCCGATTCATCCTTGCGTCCATAGCTTCACACCACGTCACGTCTATAAAAAGCATCGCTCCTCGACCGAATCGAGGCGCTGCCGTCCGCCCGTTCGAGCTGTGCCTCTCCACCGTCCCATCTCTACTGTCTCGACGCAGTGGCCATCGCCGATCATGCCGTCCTTTCAGCCCATTCGCTGCGACCTGTTTACGCCTCCGGGCGACGATGAGCCTGCTGCCGAGCAGCAGCCTGCCACGGACTTCCCTCACGGAAGCGCCCCTGACATGGCCAGCGAGCAGCCTAAACCCACTGGCACGCAGCCTGCCATTGACCGCCTCATCAAGCCCGTTCGCTGCGACCTGTTTACGCCTCCTCCTAGGCGCACATTCGAACAGCCTGCCGCCACAGAGCAACCTCCCATGGATCCCTCTCACCGAAGCGATGACACGACCAGCGAGCTGCCGAAACCTTCTGGTGCACCGCCCAGAGTCGACCGCCTCGTGAAGCCTGTGCGCTGCGACCTGTTTACTCCTCCGAGTGACGATGAGCCTGCCGCTGTGGAGCAACCTACCACAGATCCCTCTGAGGGACGTCCCACCGTCACTGCCTCGAACAGCGAGCAGCCCACAACAACACACGCACAACTCGGCGTCAACAATCCCAAGGATTGGATCCACAAGATGTGCAAGGACGTTGTGAGCCCCGACACCCTCGAGACTGCAGTCAGTCAAGGCGTGCATGGCTCGACTTCCGGGACGATCGTCGCGAGCACCGACAAGCTGTGGCCCGACTCTTCGCAGACCATTTACTACTGCTTTCTGCCCGGCGACCACGTTGGCAGCAATGCTCAGCAGGACAAGGTGAGGAACGCCATCCAAGAATGGTCGCACTACGCCAATGTGCGCTTTGTTGAGGAAGTCAGTCCGGCCAGATGCGACGTTCGCATTACCTTTGACCCTAACGATGGGAGTTGGTCGTACGTCGGTCTGGACTCTCGCATCATCGAGCCTCAGGATGCGACGATGAATCTGGCATGGCTGCAGGCGTCGGGGTCGATGACTGCCAACGAAAGAGCATCGATCCTGCACGAGTTCGGACATGTGTTGGGCTTGCTTCACGAGCACCAGAGTCCTGCGCAAGGAGGCACCGCCATCAACCCGCAGGCCGCCTATGACTTGTATCGTTCCGGTCGACACTGGACAGACAAGCAGATTCAAGACCAAATCATTGATGTCTACAATCAATACGACGTGTCCAACTATTCGCAGGTCGACGTGACTTCGATCATGCACTGTCCCCAGCCCAAAGAGCTCACGGGGCTTGACCACGATATTGGCTTCAACAAGGAGCTGAGCGATCTCGACAAGGCGTGCATGGTGGTGCAGTATCCTCGCGCCCAACCGCACCCGGACGCGCCGCAGTGGACTTTCGGGTACGCGCTCAAGGTCATTGGATGTCCTGAGTCGGTGGCGCAGCAGCTACGTGCTGCCAAGGCGAGAGGAACCGACCAAGGCGGATTCATTGATCCCACATCGATCCGCAAGATTCTAAGCGACTGGACCAAGGCCTTTCACAGTAAGGGTGGGGCAATGGCGTTCCGGCGTGAAGTGGCGGAACCAAAAAATGCTCCCGCTATGATGGCCGGTCTAGCTCAGCCGTTCCAGATGACCAACGAGCTCTTTGACCGCGGAGGCATCGTCGGCGGCCCTAACGGCGAATCGCTGGCCAGCAACTACACCAAGGTGCTCCACTCGCTCGTGCCGTTGTATGAAGGAATCGAGGCGCGCAAGAAGCGAGAAGAAATGCGTGCCTGGCTGCTCGCCGATACTGAATCCAACAGTGCCGCCAATGTCAACGCGGACAAGGGCGTCAACCATGCCGACATACCGACCACCGCCGAGAGTCTGCGAGACGCCAAGGACTCGTTCCGCAAAAGCGCGCTTGGCTCTGTCTACACCGATCCCAGCGTTTTCCCCGTGCAGATGGACCCCAAGGACTGGCACGACGCACTCGATGCGGGATATACCGCGGAGGAGCTCAGTCAAGATCCGGCGCTCATGCATGCTGTTCTCCGATCCAAGGACTGATTCGAACAAGCTCCCTAGGTCTAGAGCCATTCGTAAAGGCGCTCCCACATGCTTTCTCGTCGAACGAACCCGTGCTCTGCCCTTCCGATACCTTGCGCGCACCCTCTGGATGAGTCCTTTCCCCGCCTCAGTCGAAGGAAAGCACCTTACCATGCCAAAAGACGGGGTTTAGCGTACATGCGATGTCTGCCAACATCAGCGCCCATGACATGGCAAGGCCCCCGTCGCCGTGATGTTCCGAGCCGACTATGCGAGCCAAAATGCGGCCCCCCTCTCGGAGAAAAAGGCTGCCACCGTTCCTCAGAAATTGATTTTCGCTGCAAAAATAATGCCAAAATTAATTCTGACATTTTAAAAACCTCGAGCCGAGACCTCCACATGCGCCGAAAAAAGGCTTCCGTTCCGGGCTGGTTGCCGAATTTTTGGATATTTCCAGCGAGCCAAGCTGGACGGCCAACATATTTCCGTCAGCACCATCTTCGCCAGCTCGGTAGCACTTCGGTCGAGAGTGAGAGAGCCGCGGCTGCCTGCAGTCCCCCATCCCGTCATCAACGCTTACAATTGTGGGTCCGCAAGGTAACGTAGCGTCCAACACGGGATCGGCGTATGGGTGTCCCAGCACCAACACGGTCCTCGCCACGATGGCCTCCCGCAACACGCTCGCATGTCCCCGAGCCCACGCCTGGAGAGCGAAGCCATAAATACGATGCTGTCTGCCTCGACGGTTCCTCTTCGTGAGACGCCCAAGCCGCCACCGTAGATCAAAGGTCAATTCTTCAACGATTGGTATCAGCCATGTCAATGCTCGGAAACACTGTCGGCCTCGGCCACTCGGTGGTGGGGATCATGTCGCTGCTCGCGCCCGAGTTTACGGGAAGGCTACTTTGCGTCCCTTCGCCTCGCGCGGCCAACTTTGTATCGCGACTCTTTGGGACGCGCGAGCTGCTTCTGGGCGCCAGTCTCTTCCTCAGCATCCGAAACAACCGCTCGCTTGCAGAACGCATGCAGCTGCTCACCATCATCAACATCATGAATGCCACAGACACCGTCTCGGGCATCGTCGAATACTTCAACGGCACCATCGACTTTTCCGGCTTCCTCATGGGCTCCGGCGGCGCCTTCACCCTTTTCTGCCTTGGAATGATCCAGGCTTCCAATTGGTAGATCCCTTCTCCGCACATCCCTTCAATGGCAACGTCTTGTCAGCTTCAAATTCCGGGAGAGAGTGAGCGCGACCTAGGTCGAACCGGACTATGTAGCAATCGCTGCTGCCTCTTGACAGCGCAGTGCGGGATCATCAGATCAGAAAGCGCACGTCGTCGGTCGCCACACACGAAGCAGCAGCCCACGCAAACAGCTCGAGGTCGTCAAAGCCCAACGCCGACATGCCGTCCGCAGGTCCATCACATCCCGCAGCTACCTCGACTGCGCAGTCATTTTCGCCGCTAACAGGCACGGCCGCAGCGGTTTCCCCAAAAGTCGATGTTGCGATTTCCTCGTCCCTGTCGGTTCCGCGCGGCAATGTATCGAGCACGCCGTGCAGAAAGCTGCCTGCTTCGTGACTATCCTGGATGGGATAGTACCAACAAGACAGCTTTTGGCAGCATGCTGAGCTCCGTCTTTGCCCCCATGAACCAAGACTTCCTCATCAATCACAATGGCAAGCCGAATTTCTATTACGCCAATTGGGACCTATGCAACATTGCTTCAATGATGGCCATCGGCATCTTCACCGACAATGCCACCATGTACAACTGGGCTGTCGACACCTTCCTGCATGGACTACCCGACTCAAGCATCGTCGTCAACGGAGCTCTTCCCTACTTTTCCATTGCCAACTTTACCGAAGCAGACACTGGTAAGACTCTGATGGAGATTCAAGAGTCCGGACGAGACCAAGGCCATGCGACACTTTGCATAGCTTTGGCCGGCGTGATTGGTCAACAGGGCCACAATCAAGACGTCGACCTCTACGGAGCGTTTGGAAACCAGATCCTGAATGGGTGCGTCTTACAATCCGGTGATTCGATCGTATGCAAAGAGCGAGCGGTATGCTGACCATGTGGAAGTGCCGATCCACCCGATCGCAGTGCTGAATACGTGTCCAGGTACAATGTTGGCCAAGATGTGCCCTTTAAGCCCTACACCAGCTGGGAAGGCAACCTCACCGTCGTTTCTCCCAAAGCACGCTATGAGGTTCGGCCCGGCTTCGAAGCGGTATTTGCGCACTACGACGATGTCCGTCACCTCGACACTTCTTGGACGAAAGCTTTCCGCGACTACGTCAACGGCAACAACACCCTCGACATCGAGGGCGGCGGTGGTGACTTTGGTCCCAACTCTGGAGGATTCGATGCCTTCGGCCATGGCACACTTCTCTACAGAATCAGCCCAGAATAGCGGTCGTGCAATGAACCAGATGCCTCGATTGTTAGCAGAGGAAGCGGATGGCGGAGAGCAGCTCACAGCGCTCTGCGCCCAGAACGGCTTGGGACTGGCAGACATCAGCCAACAGCGGGCGATGGACGACCGACAGAATGCTGACCCAGCTGTGTGAGCTGTGTCGGAAAAGCTGGGATCTGACCGCATTTTACTCTCGTGGGCCATTTACCCCTTTTCCACACGCCCGCTGGGCTCAGTCTGCCACGGCGAGCCGGGCCATTCCTATGGGATTGCAGGGTTCAGCGTCATTTGGCGCGTCCGGAGGGGTCTGAGGGGTCTGACCGCCAAGGCCGATGACTGGATCACATGTAAATTTACTGCAAATTCGGAACCCGCACGCCCGTCCAGCAAGGTGCCGAAGTCCACGTGCGTTCCGAAAAGGCGGAGAGAGGCAAACAAATTGAATTTGTCAGGCAGCAGAGTGGAGGCCAGGCACGGTGCTGGCTCGTTGCTGCTGCTGCCTAGGTATTTACTAGCGGCTGGTCTCGCGCGAAGCCTCTACAGGGTCCAAGGTTGCTTAGGAGTGGAGCTATTTGTTGGATGCTCACAAGACGTACCGTGTTCGCTCCCACCATCGACTCTGCGACCAGCATCCATGTCTTCGTTGCCGCGCAATCCTAATCCCAATCCGCCTGACGGCGAGACTTCGGTCAACATCTATGGCTACACGCCCTGGATTGCGCTCTGCATCTTTTCGGTGGCCTTCTTTGGCGTTGCGCTGTTCGTGCACGCCGGATATGCAGTCTATGCTGCCCGTCGGCGCAAGAAACTTTCGACTGCCTCTTTTGACGATCAGCAAGAGACCAAACATCTCGATGCTGAGCCTGATGGCTCCCTCAATGGCGGCGTCGCAACCTTTGAGGTGCTGTTCAGCGTCGGCTGTGCGCTCGAGGTCGTCGGCTACGCCTTCCGCACCGCCAGCAGTCGCAACCCTTTCGTCTTGACCAGTTTCATCCTCAACTACTTTATGATCGTCGTGGCGCCGGTCTTCTTCTCCGCATCCCAGTACTACTGTCTGAGCCTGCTGCTACAACGTCATTCGTCCTATGCCGAGCTCCTGCCGCTGTCCGGCAAGGCCATCATCGCCATCTTTGTGACGGCCGACGTAGTCACAATTGTGATGCAGATCGCCGGCGCTGCCCTCGTGGGTGTCGCAGAATCCGATCGAGCCTCGGGCAAGGTGCCGCCCCTCACACCTACCCAGGCCAACGACATTCTCCGAGCCGGTCTGGCGGTACAGGTCTTCTCAATCACCATCTTCCTCTTGTTGCTCTCCGTTCTGCTCTACAAAGTGGCGCGGCGAGGACTGATCAACGCCGCATCGCCCGATGCCTGGCGTCGACGTGCCGTGCTGGCCGTGCTGGCTTTCTCCACTTTCTTCATCTACCTCCGCACCGTATTCCGTCTAGCCGAGGCGGCCAGTGGCGTCACATCGGGCATCTCGCTCAACCAACCCCTCTTTGTCGCACTCGAGACCGTGCCGGTGTTTGTCGCCGTGCTGCTGTGGACTGTACTGCCCTTGCACGTGTTGCTACGCTAGCGGCATCCTAGCAAATATACCCATACGTGATCAATGCAGACGTTGCTCCAGGCCGAAGCACAGCTGCGTGTGCCGCTTTGCAGTGCTCGTCCCTTGGCAGAAGCGAACAACGACCCGGCTGGGAATCGAGACGGCTGGCATCTCGTGCGTCGGTACCACAAGGACTGCCTTCCTACTTCTGTCGCAGACCTCGCAGCGAGCGTCTGTGCACAGCACCGTCATACTGACTGCCCAATGAAGCGACTCGACTGCAAGTGATTCGTATCGATCATGCAGCCCTACGCAATATGTCGAGGCCGCTTTAGGCAAGTCGGAGATGGCCTGCGACACGGCGCACTCCGGGCGACATCTATTCAGACCATCTTGATCACAAGACGCCGGATCTAAATTCAGTGTGCCAAGCAACTTGCTATGAAGCGCTACTATCAATCGACAGCGAAGCGAGATTCGATTCCTTGCCAACGAATTCTTCTCACCGCGTTTTTTGGTTCTTCTCGGCACACAGAGTCACTCGCTTATTTCTCTTCTGCGGACAGTGCAACTAGTCAAGCTTCTACGGTCTGCCCAAAGAAGGGTCACGACGTTCTCCGATCCGACAGATGCGCGACGAAGGGCCCGTCTACTAACTCCGAGACGAGACCTCGCCGTGCGTTGCGATAGCGCCGAGCGAAATCGGCGCTGAGAGCCGAGTCCTTGAAAGATGGTCCAGCTGCCCTTTTCATGTTGGCGGACCTAATTCCGATCCGGGCAAAATCAGCGGTAAAATGTGGGATGGCGGTTGTTTGACAGATGTCGGATGCTCTTGCATGATTCGGAGTGATTCGATGGCCCGGACAAGACAAGCGGGACTGCTCCGCCAAAATGGAAGAGTGGCGCCTTCGACCTCCTTTCGGGCGGAGTGAGGTTCACACTCGTCCAGAGCTGGATAGACCCTTCTCTTCGAACGAACTCTCGCTTCGAGCACTGGCTCCAAATCCGTTGGGACTCGCCTAGTCGAGCAAGACTCTTGCTGGATGCTCGGGCTTCGCATCTAGAAGGACTCGAAAAGATTCGAGGTAGAAGCAGATCCGGCCGTTCGGCGCAGAACCAGCGGGGGCTCGCTATCCGCAGAGAGGAATGCATATATACCCCGTCACACCTCTGCGAGAGACAGGGCAGTGCTCCATCCACTCTTTCGTCCTTGAACACAAGTACCAACCTGGCAACAAGTGAAGTCTAGTTGATTTGCCAGCGCAGGTTTTCGAGAACCGAGACGAACATTCATCCTCGATACAAATGTTTACAGCCACAACTGCTCGTTTCGTGGTGGCGGCGATCGCTGCGAGCTTCGTAGCCGTGCCAGTCTGGGCAGCCACTGCTCGCTGTGGTGGATCCGCGCTATGCTCGTCATCCGTCGTGAATGGGGATAGCCCGGCACAAGGCTTGCTCGACACCATCAGTGGGCTTCAACAGCGTAGCAGCCGGCCATACTCTGAAGGACAACCGATAGCTTGCTTTAACAACATATGCGCACACTACAGCAACACGCACGGCCGTACATTTACTGCCGACCAAGCCCTCGCCCATGGGCATCAGATTGTGGATATGGGTTGCAACACTTGCGGCGTGGTCGAATTCGGAGGCTCTACGGCAAGCGGACCGACGCGATTCATCTTCGGCTACTCGGTTGGCGCTGGCTACTGCGCCAACAATTGCGCTGCCTGATCTGTTTCGGCGCAGCACCCACGTCCCTCCCTGGAGATGGACACACATATTCACCTTCGCTCTTTGTGCGAGTATCTGGTCGATGTTCTGCCCAAACGAGGTGGACAGTGGTCACTCTGACTAGCTCGACACCAGAATGCCCTTCTCGCAACCCGGCCTCGCTCGCAATTCTCGAAAAAATGTCCGCCTGCTTCGGTCTTGGCCTTCGGAAATTTCTTTCCGAGTCAATCGAAGACCGAGTGGAGCTTCGGCGGGATCGTCCTCTCCAGCCGCCTGAAAAATAAAATATTTCCGAGACAAGGCAGTGTTTCCAAGGAATGCGTGTTCGTCTGCCAGCCCGGCGTGCAAAGGTGAGACCCGCTGCGTGCTTCGCCATCTTTCGGCTGGTGATCTGCTCTCGAGACACCGAAGCTTCGAAGCTTCGAAGCTTATAAAGACCGTCGCTTTTTGGGGAGGCGGTTCCCCTCACGACGCCTCATCATCGATTTCTGCGTCACCTATATCTACTTGCCCGTCGCCATTGCGGTCCTTGTAGCAACCCCGCGAGAATTCAAGAACTCGCCTATTGCTCACCCAGAGATGGCGGCTCTTTCGACGCCCTTAAAGCTGACTGCAGCCTTCGCCGTGGCTACCGGTCTCATGAACCTCGTTGCAGGTGTCGGCTGGCTAAAGATCATCACGGGCGTTCCTCTCCCTGTACAAAGCCGTGCCGCAGTCTTCGCCGATAGTCAGCTACGTTTCTTCGGCGCCATCTGGGCTGGCTACGGTGCCATGTTGTGGTGGGCAAGCAACGACGTACGCGGACGGCGCGTGCCGTTGGCAATCCTGGCATGCACCATGGCCGTCTCTGGGCTCGGTAGGACCATCTCGGGCATCGTGCATGGATTCAGCTCACCCTTCACTGCGACATTCCCGGCCATCGAGCTACTGGCGCCTTCAGCTCTCTGGTATTTCAGTTGAAGGCCGCAGTGGCCGTCCGAGGATCCAATCCGAGATTCGTCAAGTTCATGCTTCTCTTAAGAAATACGATGGAGAAAGACTCGCTTGCCCGTTCCTGTGATCCGATGCTCTCGATACCCTGTTCAGCAATTCAGCGCAGATCTTGCCGACGCTCCGCTTCAGCATTGCATGGCGGAATGTGGGGTGTGCGCGACCCTGTGGCGGCCTCGCGCCAAAATCGCTGGGCAGCGGGAAATACATATTAGAGATCTTTCGCAAACGCGTCTTCGTATTAGCAACAAGCTCGCGTATGCACATTTATGCATGAGGTTCAAACCCCGCTCGAAGCGAGGATGATAGGACGACAAGAACAGGCGTTGTTGTATCAACGCGCCCTGCCAGACGTTGATAAGACGACGCCCAGGCTTGAAATGGTACAAAGTTGAGCCGTATACGTGCCTTTTGTGTGTTTGTGCGACGTAGGGTTAGGGTTAGGGTTAGGGTTAGGGTTAGGGTTAGGGTTAGGGTTAGGGTTAGGGTTAGGGTTAGGGTTAGGGTTAG